TCAGAGAGAAACCTTAACTGGACCCACTGGTTTGTTTCATGTCACAAACTGCTATTTTTTCATTCAATTAAAACAAGAGTTAATCAGAGCCAGTGGTTCAGGTGATATACGTTCTTAAAAAAAATCTCCCAAAGAATCTTTAATTAGATGTACTTGCATGGAAATCACAATGCATTTAATTTTATTGAATTTACAGACATGTACTGTAAAAACAAATTATTGCGTTATAATGTTGAACAAAATACAAGATTTGTAGAAATAATATAGACCACGTATATAAGTACATGTAGGTAATTTGAAATAAAAAGAATTGACAAAGTGAACAGGTACATTAAGTATGGATGGCCCTTATGTTTATTCCCAGTTTTCTGTATTTGTACAGCCATATAATGCCTTATTCCCGTAAGTAAGCACAGTACTGTTTCACAATGGTAATATTTGCAATCTATTGTTTTTTTTATGAATTCTTTCCATGCTTTTCACGCTGAGAATGGTTTGGGTCCAACAAGGTTTTTGTCACATACTAGTCGACATTGGCCAACAATTTTTCTATGACTGATGTTTTAGACCAAAACTTCACACAACAACTTTGACAATTTGATCATATGGTCTATTGCTGGGCATTACAATTATGTTTGCATCATATGGCATTACAATTATGTTTTCGCCGTGTGGCATTACAATTATGTTTGCATCATGTTGCATTACAATTATGTTTGCATCATGTGGCATTACCATTATTTTTTCATCGTGTGGCACAACAATTATGTTTGCATTGTGTGGCATCACAATTATGTTTGCATCATGTGGCATTACAATTATGTTTGCATCTTGTGGCATTACCATTATTTTTGCATCGTGTGGCACAACAATTATGTTTGCATTGTGTGGCATTACAATTATGTTTTGCATCATGTGGCATTACAATTATGTTTGCATCGTGTGGCATCACAATTATGTTTGCATCGTGTGGCATTACAATTATGTTTTGCGTCATGTGGCATTACAATTATGTTTTGCGTCATGTGGCATTACAATTATGTTTGCATCATGTGGCATCACAATTATGTTTGCATCATGTGGCATTACAATTATGTTTGCATTGTGTGCCATTACAATTATGTTTGCATTGTGTGGTATTACAATTATGTTTTGCATCATGTGGCATTACAATTATGTTTGCATCATGTGGCATTACAATTATGTTTGCATCAAGTGGCATTACAATTATGTTTGCATCATGTGGCATTACAATTATGTTTGCATCATGTGGCATTACCATTATTTTTGCATCGTGTGGCACAACAATTATGTTTGCATCATGTGGCATTACAATTATGTTTGCATCTTGTGGCATTACCATTATTTTTGCATCGTGTGGCATTACAATTATGTTTGCATTGTGTGGTATTACAATTATGTTTGCATTGTGTGGCATTACAATTATGTTTGCATCATGTGGCATTACAATTATGTTTTGCATCATGTGGCATTACAATTATGTTTGCATCGTGTGGCATTACAATTATGTTTGCATCATGTGGCATTACAATTATTTTTGCATCGTGTGGCACAACAATTATGTTTGCATTGTGTGGCATCACAATTATGTTTGCATCATGTGGCATTACAATTATGTTTGCATCATGTGGCATTACCATTATTTTTGCATCGTGTGGCACAACAATTATGTGTGCATTGTGTGGCATTACAATTATGTTTTGCATCATGTGGCATTACAATTATGTTTG